TATTCCGAAATATATATGTTTGTTTATGTAAAAGTTTATATATTATTATTATAAACATATTTATTTATTTATTTAAGCTTTATTGCACAAATTAAAATGTACAAATGGCGGACTTAATGCCATGGGGGCATTCTCTACCAGTCAACCGGAGAGTTTTAGCAGAGAGCAGAGAAAAAAAGGCGGTGCAACTATGAAACAGAGTAGTGTTGTAAAAGAACTGAGTCTTTTAGTCCTAATATTGAGACTCGAGTCTTTTTTTGAAGACTCAAGTCAAAAAAGAGTAAGTCAAAGCTTGAGCCTCTCTGAGTTTTTAGTCTTCTTAAAATAGCCTCCAGTCTTGCCAAAGAGAACTCGAGACTGAGTCTTTTAAAAGAGCTCACTCTTTACAATAAGAACTCCAGACTAAGTCCTTCAAATAAAAACTTAGCTTTCCTAAAAAGAACTAGCGACTGAGTCCTTTTAAAAAGAGCTCAGTCTTACGAAAACCTACCTACACTTATAATTATAACGCGACAGGCCAGCTACACTGTGCGCCTTGTGACCAAATTTGGATTAATTACCTACATTTTGTAATTACTTACTGACGTACATGTATGAGAGTATCACTTACTTATTCAAGGAAAGTAAAAATAAATAATAATGTTTATCGAGATTCCAAATGTAATGTGTTCGTTATATGATTTGAGTTATGGCAATTTTTTTTTCATTATTGTATACTAGAAATAATTACGTTAAGTTTTTTGATACGGCTGCACTACCAGAGCGTCCTGAGCATGAATTTGTAAAAGTAGTATGTATTAACATAGTTTTGTTTTTCATTTATATCACACGACATTAACAATTAAATGTAAATTAATAATTGACAAATTAGTATTATATATGTATGATTTTGATGTGTAAAGAACTCAAAGGCTTCATGACACGAGTTTTTTTAATTGGACTGCAGTCCTGCTGTATAATTCACACGACTCATAAGTCTTCAAAGAACTTAAAGGACTCAAAGAACCCAAAGGACTGAAAAAAAAACGAAAGGACTTAGAATAAATCTAACGGCTCAAGAAATTTTAGGACTGAAAGAACTGAAAAGACTCAAAAGAACTCAAGACTAAGGACTCAGAAGACTAATTAGTCGTGAGTTCTGCAAAAAGAACTTATAGTCGCAAAATTAGGACTAAAAGACTCAATTCTTTTACAACACTAAAACAGAGAGCCAAACAGTTTCAATGTGAAAAATTAAATTACAACTACCAATATCTATGCATAAATTTACATACACATACATAACATACATACATAAATAAATATATATATATATATATACATATATGTATATAAACAAATAAATATATATAATTACATAAACAATTTAACCACAAACCACAGAAGAATTCAATAGATGTTCGCGCAGTAGACGTTTGAAAGCAAGTTTATTTGGAGCAGCTTGTATGTGGGAAGGCAGTACATTCCAGAGTCGTATAGCTTGAAGCGAAAATGAATTGGAAATGAAACCTGTCCGGTGAGAAGGAAAAATGAGAGTTTGTTTGCTGTCTGAACGAAGATTACGGCTGTGAGAAGCACCTAGATACTGAAATTTACATTTCAAATATCCAGGTGCACACGGATCTTTAAGTATAGAATAGAGAGTGGAATGATCCTCAAATCCCTACGCTGGCGAATTGTTAGCCATTTCAACTTTTTCCTAAAGGCAGAGACATGATCATATTTACGAATGTAGAAAATAAAGCGAATGCAATTATTGTGTAAACGATCCAGTTTGTTTAGAAGTTCCTGCGAGATGTCAGCATAACACATCATCATCATCATCATCATCATCATCATCAGCCCTTTTACGTCCCCACTGCAGGGGCTCAGGCCTTCCTTATGGATGGTTAAGGAGGATAGGCCATGACCCTCCACGCTGGCCCAATGCGGATTGGAGGGTATTAACGACTGCAAATGCAGCCGGGACCAACGGCTTAACGTGCCTTCCGAAGCACGGAGTAGCTCGAGATAATAATTTTTTTGGTCACCCATCCAGTGACCGACCCTTGCGAAAGTTGCTTAACGACTACGATCGCGGGCCGCGGCGCTTATCCACTACGCCACCGAGCTACCACATCAGCATAATCAATGATAGGAAAGATTATTGATTGGACTAGGAGGATTTTAGTGGAAATGGGAAGGAAATTTTTGAATTGATAAAAAGACCTAAGTATGCCAATTACTTTACTACAGACAGAGTCAATCTGCATCCTCCAGTTCAGTGAGCTGTTAATGCAAATACCCAGATCGACAACGTGAGGGGCAAACTTTATAAGATTGCCATTAAAATCGCGTACTACCCACTATGATACCCTGGCACTTGTTAGGGTTGACCCGAATTCCAAATGTATTAGACCAGTCAGAGATCTTTTGCAGATCCTTATTTATCGAGCATATAGCTTCATCCAAGTTATTTGTCTCCGCATGTGCGTAAATTTGCAGGTCATCTGTATACAAATGATGAGAGCTGTCAAGAATAAAGGAAATTGAATTAATGAAAATCGAAAAGAGTAGGGAAGACAAAATGCCGCCTTGAGGAACGCCTGCAGATAAGTTGCACCAATCAGACAATCCAAATTTAGAATATACAGCCTGCTGACGTTCCCGAAGATAAGACGAAAACCAATCTAGTTCAGGAGATGAGACTCGCAAATGTGAAAGTAATGCCAGGAGAATATCATGATCAACAGCATTAAAAGCGTTGGAGAAATCAATGAGAACTAATACTGTTAAACGTGACATCTCCATGCCATCACGCAAGTCCTCGGTCACTTTTAACAAAGCTGTAGTAGTACTATGACCGCGTCTAAAACCGGATTGATATTGATCCAGGATTCGGTTACTAGCGATATAAGCAGATAGTTGATGATGTACGGTGGCTTCCAAAATTTTTGACAAAAATGGCAGGATAGAAATTGGCCTCAGGTGATCAAGTGTAGTTGGATTATTCACCTTGGGCAGTGGCACAACATATGCCTTGCACCATGCTTTCGGAAAAACCCCAGACGAGAGAGAGTCATTTGTGATTGTTAGAGGCTTTTTAGGTGAGTAGATTAATAAAATATACAATGTTTTATGCAAAATATATATGTTATTCTATATGCTTAATACTATCACTACAACATCATCATCACCAACATATTTATGTCTCCACCTTGCCTTCCCTATCTATGAAAACTAATAGGGCGAATGGGCCCTGACCCACTACGCTGGCTCAGTGCGCATTGGATTGGTTCGGCAACCGGGACTAACGTATTCACGTGCTTTTCGAAGCATGGAGGAACTCCAGATAATACATTATTGGTCACCCATCCTTCCGTCATCCGTCATGATTGGCCATTACAGAAGTTGCCTATCAACCGTATCGCACTGCGCCATTGAACATCTCACTATTACAGCAATTAGATAAAAAAATAACTAAGACGAAAAAGAACTTTCGTCATCAAGATTTTGTAGATACAGCAGACAAATAGACGAAATAAAACACAGTTTGAGTATCCGAATTAGCATGCTTATAACTATTAACTAACTTAAGAACTTAAGAAGTTAATGAAAAAAAAAATTAAAAATCCACTTTGTTCCCTTTTTCCAAATTGCAAAAGGTCGTGAGTTCGAATCCCAGCTCAGAGTATCAGGGACAAAGTGGATTTTTTAAACATACTTCAATAAAAATATTCAATAGTATTTTCTTGAAAAAGGCGCTTTTGAGATAGGTAAATATATTATTGATCACTTTTTAAAGTTTGATTTTTTGAAAAAAGGTTTTATGAATTAATTGAAAGTTGTAGATACATGGTATTTTGAAATTATGTATCTTGCAGATATATCTTGTATTAATCAGGCACTCGTGAAACTTCTTACACTAACAAAAATGTTTCATTGAAGAGTGTCTTCCAAGACCAATATTCCAAATGACAATGTGTTTACATACGTATATTAGGTATATTACGACATGACCTAGTCTTTACAGAGATATTATCTAAACATAATAGACTTAATAAAAGTGATGAAGACATTTTACTTATCTCATTATTACGTATAGTTACCTACGTGAATAACATAATGTAAATATTGTTGGTATTAATAAATAAATATATTTATGTATAGAAAAATGAATTGCTGTTCGTTTGTCTCGCTAAAACTCGAACGGCTGATACGGCTTAGTTGATTTTAATTTTGTAATATATGTCGAAGAGTTAAGTTTAAACTATTAGAGGTGATTTGAAGTACACCGTGTCACATAGTAAATAAATAAATTACACATTATATTTACACATACTTATTAGGAGTTTGAGTTGTGCTGATTCTATTTATTTATAATGAAACTACTTTTTCATTTAATATCATAATCAAAACAAAAAAATATTTATTATCTTTACCCAGCTATATTATCTTACCCGTGCCTGATATTAATTTCTATTTGAATATGGATCATTTTATTGTTTAAATTCATCTTTAGTAGATGGCTTCTAAATAGGGTAGCTTATAATAAAATAAAGGTGCGTGTTTTAAATTAACAGTCTTAAGCAATTTTGTCTCACACCATCTTAGATTATGACGTTATATAATCTAAACACACCATACAGAATGAAAAATCATTTATTTTTAAACAATCAGTAAGAATTCGGTCTTTGTTTTTAACTATCGTCTGCGGGATCGTGGAACTTTAAACTTAAGATTCATCAAAATAACAATCTTTAAAAAAAAATAATCTATGAACTAAGTTAATTTCAATACTAATATATCATCAAACTGTCAATATTTATGTCTTAAAATATTTGTAAAAACACAATTCATAATATTATTGTATTAAATACACATTCTCAGTAACTATGTCAAGAAAACATGTTAGAAAAAAATGTTTATACTAAATATATCAATATTCTAAGGACAATTTCACTGCAATACATTTAGCATTCCAGTTTATTATAGAGAAGAGCATACTCTAAATTGCTCACCATGTCATGTGATCCTCTACAGGACGCGAGGTCTAGCCCTCAATGAAAATTAAGTGGTCCAATCCTTAGAGCAAAGGTCCAATCGGATCGCATCACACAACGCGCGAGACGCTTGCGCACGAGCTACCGTCAGCCCGACCGGTCACCGACTGCAGCACACATAACGTAATAGGTCCCTTCACGAAATCGTGAGATAAGAAAAACAGAACCTAAACTTTTTACAAATCCATTAACATGAAGCCAGTAACATGAAGGTTATGTTTCCTCTTTGCATTGACAAAAAAAGAATTGAAGATCCTTTTTTTTATTTATTTCACTAGATAGCTTAAGGCGATTTTAAACTTCAATTAAAGTTGGGATTATTAAAACCACCTTCTGAGTTCAGTGGAAGATGCCCTCAGAGTCATAAGCTTTGCAATAAAAAAATTGATTAATAGGTCTATAATTCGAAAAGAAATCGGTGAACATACATTAAAAGATACATATATACCAGTCGAACATAAACCCTCCTTTTTTATTTCAAGTCAGTCAGAAATAATTTAAATTTCGATCTGCGTCAGCTACGGTATAGCCTCAGATATAGAAGATGGTAATGAGACATTTCATTTTCATTTTACATGTAGAAATTTATTTATTCACTTGACATTGGCAGAATTGTGCGAAATGCGCAGATAAGCCATTAATAAAAGAAGAAGAAGAAGAAGACTTATTTACTGATTGTCATTGATAAATATTTAACATCTAACTATTCTCAAAAAGACATGATAGGCATGAAATTGCATAAATTATTGTGATATCTGTGCTAATATTTAAATAAATAAAAAAGCATTTTCTTACAAAATACACACAGGTGTTTCTTGTTATTTTCATTTTATTATCATAAATAAACAAAAACACAATAATATAAAAGTAATTCTATTCACATAAGAAACAAAGACGAGTGCGAGGATAATTTTATAATTACACGCTTTTTTTCCATAAAGTCACAAGGCTTCTTATTAGCCGACTTCAAAATCGGAAAGGAGAAGGTTATATATTCGACCGCAGTTTATGTTTTTTATGTATGTTCTCCGATATTTTCGCCACTTAGGAAGTATTTTAAGAAAAAAAGATAGCACTAAAAAGCACTTCACTAGATGGCGACTCTACTGAAAGTAGATTTTTGCAGGAAACGAATGGACCAAAGAATGTCGTTTCTGTTTCTTTTAACTAAATATTAAAAAACTGAAATTTGCAAAGTTCGTAACTTAGATATCGATACAAATACAAAAATTACAAATAGAATATAAGTTGTTAATTGAATTTTGAAAAATTAATTTACTTTTATACATGAAAGAAAACCGGAAGGGTTGTCATGGAGAAATCAAGAAAGTACCATAGCTACATCTAGTTTGATTTCGGGAATTGTTGATCGATTTTCAAATATTTTTTTATTAGACAAATTCGTAAATCAAAATACGCTTTTCATCAGTATCACCTAAATATTAAGATGATATGTTTTTTAAGCTAAAAAAAAAACAAAATATAGGATATTTAAAATTCATTCGAAATCTGAAAGGAGTATTTGCTTAGTTCGTTATGTATATTTTTTTATGAAAGTGTTCATAGATTTCTTCTTGAATTGTGAACAAATTTCTATCAAACTAGCTCTTACCCCGTGACTTCATCTGCGTAAATTATATATGAATTATAAACAATGTCCCCCGCGTATTATGTAGCTTCCCATAGATGAAAGAGTATTATAAATCGGTCCAATAGTTTCGGAGCCTATCCAATGCAAACAAACAAGCAATGAAGTGGAAACTCTCTATAATATGAATAGGTATAGATTTATTGGAATAAATTATGTTGAGCAAATAAACTAAATCTCCTTTTCTAAGACTTTCACTATGTTCAATGTTTATAAATATTTAATATATTTAATGATACCTATTATACTCATAAAAAATATCAATATCAATATAAAAAATAGAACTGACTTCAAACTTTAAAAAAGTGATAAATAATACTCATCTTAACAGCAAGTTATTCAAGAAAATGCTATTGAAGTCGGGTGCCTATTATTTAATTAATAACCTACAGAAAACCTCCGCCCGGCTTCAATAGCATTTCCTGTATAATAAGCTTTTAATGTAAGTATTATATCATATTTTATGCATTTTACTGTGTACATATAAATCTAAATTATCATAAAAGCATATAACTAACCTACAAGTTTATTTTATCTTGGTTCAGTAGGTATTATCATCTTCAAATGATAGAATAAAGCGAGGGCACGCGTAATAGCGTGCGAAACTTTGGGGTCAAGTGTGCCTAGCCAGACAAAACTGTTGAGTACAATCACGGCCAACGACAATAAATATAAAAACAAAACAACGTGGTTGCACATGAATGGATTTCTCATCGATTTTCCCTTTGATAATACGTTGGCTGCCATCAGCATTTCTTGCATTGCTAAAGGGATCAAAACTAGTTTTTCAAGGTATTGTTTGGGAGATTATATGGGAGTAATATAGCGATACTTTCGCTGTCTTTTAACAGTTAAAATTTTCAGTTTCCAGTACGGGACCTTACGTGCGGGAATCCGACTCGCTCTTTGCCGCTTTTTATTTTATAATAACTATTATCATAATAAAGAGGAATGAAATAACAAAGTTGGTACTATTTATCTAATCGTTTAAATAACCCTATCTATTAATAATTTAGACCAAAATCTCAAACTATCAAGAAATTACATCCAAATAGACTGTAAATAACAACAGAAAATTGCATCTTATTTGTAAGAGTATTTCCTTACGCAGCACTTATTTAATATTTTAGAATTAATTAATTAAAAATTGTTTTTGATTCGCGATTCGCCATTCTGTGTCCAGTCCGCTAACAATATTTTGGCTTAACACCATTTAATATTTATTTAAAGTAATAAATGCTACCTGCTGGCTTGCGTTCGAGTTACGTAAGTTATTGAGCGATTGTATTGTCCCATGTACATACCTAGATGCGACGTTATGCGAACTCTTATACAATATCCTTTCGAATGACTGCATTAAACAACAATGACCCAGTTAATGCGGATGCAGCAAAAAATTACTAGTTGTTTTATCTAAGGAAAAATTCTACTGCTCTAAATGGAAAGGTGAATTTCGAGTAACTGTTTCTGTGGTTGATTAAAAATGTAAATCGCTAATTACACAATTATTTTTAATGTACAATTATAATTTTCAATCCCACTTTTTTAAGTTATTCGCATTTACACAGACGTGGTAGAAGAACTTTGATAATTAAATTTTAAATAACTATTTCTAGAGAGTTGGTTGATTCTTTATTACGTATTCGATTAGAATGGCTAAACGCCACAGTTGAACTGTATTATCTTGTTGGCATTTTTGCATTTTTTCATTATATAATGTATAAAATCCAATATCATACTACAATATAAGAATCCTTGATAAATCATAAGTGATTCGTAACAGGTAAATTTGTTAATATACTTATAACTAACAGTAATTATAACATGAAGTCTTGAAACACTACTAACACGCCTTAGTCGTGCTAACGTTGTTTAATTTAGGTTGAATTGTATAGAATTAGTCTTTAGATGTCACTTTTACCATTTAAGGCCTTAACTAAACTTCCAATCCGAGCATCAATTTAGTCCTTTCACAAACGATAGTACTTATAGCAGCATGAAAAAGAAGACTCCGGTCTCCTAAAAATCACATACGATACGTCTCATACGTATCGTATGTGATTTAAAGAAAACACAAATGACCTGCCTGTCACAGCATTTATGAATTTACGTAAGTGTAATTTTTTATAAATAGGTAGGTACAATAATCACTATCATGTTTCAGTCAATTTACACAATCAATAATTAGACTAAATAATGTATACATTTCATAAAATTGATAACATGTACAATCTTATATCGTTAATTTGCAAATTTGTCTTTACGAAATTCATCTCGTACGTACACGGATTGCTAGGTCAACGTCCACATTAAATTGACCCCTTAATATATCAATGAACTCAACAAAATGTATTTGTTTTTAAACTCTAATATGTAGTATCGATTAAATATTTTTTGTTTAATCAAACTTTTTATACTCACATGTAGGTATTTTAAGTCGTTAAACAAAGTGAGGTTTATTATAATTGCAATTTAAATGGTTATCATAAGCGATCAACTGAGTTCCTGGTAAACACCAACAAAAATTAGGTGTTTGCATAAATTTTAAACGCAAAACATATTATGAATATATTATTAATTATTACCTATATACTTGCGTGTCATACTACTAAGATAAAAAAAAAACGTTAGTTACTGAGATAAGATAGAAAAATCGGTATACAATACCAAGTTAATAAAAAACTTATTTTTATAGTTTTTTTAACGCTCGCTTATACGAAACCTGCGGCTTCGCCCACGTGGTCCGAGGATACTGTGTGCACACCGGCCCCTGCAGCCCGATTGCGATAAATCAATTTCATACAGTACGTGTGGAGTTCGGTTTGGGTTTAATTCCAGTAAAAGTCCAGTTGACCGATAGTTTTTTGTACCGCGCTAAAGTTGAAACTTTAACTGAAAGGAAATCGGAACTGAACTTTGAACGTTATTAAAACGTTAGAGATGTACCCGAATACTGTTATTTTTTCCTGTTATTTAAATATAATCGACAATCGATTGACTATTATATCGTTGGCATTATCGTTGGCTAATTTGACATATTTAGAAGGAATGTTAATAGCGGGAATAACAGGAATTTGAGTAAAGTGGATAAAAAAATACTTAACAAGTTATTTTAAGTGGTTGTGACTGAAACGTAGCTTTTTAGATGACTTAATTCTCATACGTGTTGTGTGTGCACTTCGTGAAAGTAAAATGAGCATTTTCTTTGTTCAAGCTCAATAATTTAACCGAGAAAAGAAAATTATATCAAATTGTATCAAACTATTTTTGATGTATAAATGGCAAGCAATCGCAAATCAACAACGGTCCGTCAACTAGAAACTCTTCTCGAGTTTGTAGAAGGACATCGTAACCTCGCCTTTTTACGTGTGAGGTCCAAGGAGGCTCGAGCCTTAGCGGCTCAGCTGTGGCGTGAATGCGCCGAATTGCTCAATCCTTTGGGAACCGTAAGGATTGGCAAA